GAGAATGGCAAGTCTCACTGATGATGCCGACTACGATGCCGGCGAAACGTCTGAGAATGTATAAAGTCCAGGGTCGGATGCTGGGAATCAAGACAACTACTATGGCAGACGACTTCGGACTAGGTGCATTCTACATAGTCACCTTGACAACAAGACCAAGTTGCGACAACGAGGTCAACCCACTTCTATTAGTTAACTTTTGTTTAGAACCCCTCCAGAAATACTGGCGAATCCAATTCTAGGTTGGAAAAGCTCTCCAACCATGACGAAAGCGTAAATTCGGGATTCTTGAAGATTCAATGGTGAGATTCGACCTTCTTTTCGCCTCATCGTCGACAGGTCAACTGCAAATCGATGCAATGACAATGGACCAATAATAACGCCTTATTTGTTGAGCTCGTCTGCCGAGGATATGGATTTGTCAATTAATGTTAATTCCTCCGAATTATATAATATCCCATTCGCTTTTGTGGGTTCACGCGCCCTTTTATTGCACCATTTCGGCCATTATGCTCTATTCATGTTGTTAGCGCAAAAACGAATCAACTCTAGAACCAGCCTCTGGAAAAGGCCGGACAAAGTGGATCCTTCGGTAAGGGATTAATTGGTAACAATTTCATCCTATTGTGGGGAAGGTATAACTGATGAGCGTGGAAGTGCAAAGGTCTGGCTCGGATTTTATCCGAGAATATGCTAATGATAATGTAAGCATTTCCTAAACGTTCTATTATGATCACACGCAGTTGTCTAACTATTTGTCGGCACTTGTTTCTTACCTATCAACGCGTTTTCCTTGCTCGCTTGCTACCTCAATGAGCAAAGAGGTAAACAACGAAGAACTGAGTAATTGACAGCTTGAACAACATAAATAAGTCGAACCCTGTTAAGCAGTGATGCACAGAGACACAAAGACATTGAAATGAAGACAGACGTGCAGAGATTACTGCAACCTTAGATGAATACATACAACGAAAAATATGGCCAAGCCTGTGTACGTACATACACACATGCATACATACGTGCATAAATTCATACAGACAGACATTGACACACACACACACATGGGCACGCCAGCCAGCATGGCATATATGCACTGACACGGATAATCATACAAACGGGCAGATGTAAAGAAATCCACGCCAAAGAGGATGTACATTTTAAAGGATCTCCCTCACTGCACTATTTATCTACCGAAATTGTCTTTTCCCTCTCGCACACAAAATGTTAGAATATGTTGCGGATCCGTTTACATGTGAACAGGGCTTGCGGTTGTTTCACTGCAAGGAAGAGCCCGCTTTGGCTTCTACTCATGCTGACGACAAGGCAGATGGTCCCGTCTGTGGAACCAAAGGGGCGGATGAGGCCTCAGCTCTCTTATGGCGCCCTCGTCAGAATCCAGTCCTTGGCAAGGCCCTAGCAGACTTGTCGGTGAAGCTGTGTTGACAAGGCATAGCGACAGCCCCCCCCTCCCTGCACACCATAACATACACCTGTTGTTCACATCAATACTGACGGAGCGGCAAACAATAGCAAGCTTCTCCGTAATGTACAGATTGGACAGAGATCTACAGCCTAGACAGGGCCAGATTTATATGGGTTTTGGTACTGTGTCAGAGTCGAGGGGTGGGAACGCAAGGTATGATGCAAGGCCCGTAAACAGAGCAAAGCACAGGGAACCTGGACGGTCGGTCGTCAGGCGATAGGTGGTTTGGCCGGCATGAGCCCTCGCCAGAATGACTCTGATCAGATGATTTATTAACTGGCGGCAGACTTTGAAGTGTGCACTCCTCAGCCGATTTCGGCCCGGCCAGCATGACGAACCCGTGTCAGGCTCGTGGATGAGCGAAATGGTCTTCTCTGACATGCCTACCGGCCTAGACGCCAATGCCATCCTCAGACCTGCCCCGTAGACTAAGCCAAAGGATAGCATCATTAGGCAGGCCATCTATTCAGCCGTTTTCCTCGGCTTT